ATATTGCGATAGCCCCCGAAATCTCGTTTTCCTTCGTTCATTCTTTGACAAATTTGCGGTAATATCCATGCAGGTAGCCATTAACACATGCGATAAATCTAGAAGTAGCAAACAAATTGAACAAAACGTCTCAGTTGAAATCTGACGCACGTGCGCGTCACGCTGTCATCACTGGGTTGAAAGTTAGAAGATCTGTGACGATCGTGAGAAAAAAAATTGGAAAAATAAGAAAGTTTTTTATCAGTATTGATTGATAGTGCAGCAATAACCAACGTATAATATTTATTAGTTCTCAAGTGATTATTGATTCTTTTAGGTGCAGGCGAAAGTGGAAAAAGCACTATTCTGAAACAAATGAAGTGAGTTGTCAATTATTTGGTTATTTACTTAATTGTGTGTTTACGTACATAAATATGGGTTTTGTATGTCAATTTTAATTTCAAAGAATTCCTCTCTGACGATGAGTTCACTTTTCGGTGCTATCGTAAGATACGGGGCATTGTGGTGGCCATTCAAGACCGCGCAAAAATTTCCTTTTGTTAAAACGATACTCAACCTAGCAGGGGAGGAGAGACTTCAGGGTGCGTGAGCGATTTCGTTTTCTCCGAAGTTCCTGACCCTCCTAGGCTTAGTCCTAGAGGATGCCCCCGTATATTGCGATAGCGCACACTTTCCTATTAACTTTCGTTAATATTTATTAAAATCGAAATTTCTCCTTTTTTCTTCCTTTTTTCCTTTTTGTCATCCAAGCTTGTCCCCAGTCATGCTTTGGTTCACAGTCTCAGAGAACCTTCATAAGATGCTGAAAACAATTATTCAAATCTATTCAGTGCAACACCCCTTTGGTCTGCCCTTGATTGTTGTAACCGAACCACGTCTAATTGCATCAACAATTCTAAACAACATTCGAGTGTGGGGCGCGTTCCAGGATGTCACTAAATTCTCGTCTTTTATACCCCTTCGCCCGAGAACTCTGTATCTAGGCCTTCACGATGTTTAAAAGACTTAGCAAATCTACAAGTGATTGAGAGCGGCTGCGTAGTGGCTAATTCAAATAGTACGGGTTAGTGGAGCCGTTAGAGCGAGAACATTCAGGGAACTCGTCCAGCCCGCCCCTTCCTAATTACAAGAGCGCCTAATTATAAGACGCAAGAAGCAGACATCTTTGTTAGATGTCCCTCATGACGTTTGTTTATGATTATTTTTCGCTCATTTTGTAGTTAATCTTCTCATGTTTCCATTACCCACAATTCGCTTCTGGGCTGTTGCTGTGAAAAACGATCCTCTATGTCGCAAATGCAGTCAGACTCCTGTTCAACTGACACACATATGGTCAACTGTAAATAGAGTTGAGATTCATTCAAATTCACATATACTTGGGATGGTAAGAAAGTCCTGAGCCGATTTTTCGAAAGCTCCAGAACTTTCGCTTATTGATCGATACCTAGAATCTGCTACGTGATAGATTATCGCTGTCGATCATACTTCTCCGCAGTAGGTATATATAGCCGGGTTGCCTTCTTTAACTTTAATCATGATGTCGATTCCACAAGAGCACTTTCGAGCGATCATCTTCAATGAATGGCGCTGCGGCACAGGAAGCAGTGGAAACCGTCAACATTATCAGCATCGCACTGGGAAGGACACCACTTCCATCATCCGGTGCCAAGCTCTGGTTCGCAGGCTTCGAAGGAGGAGACATGGCTTCCGAAGACAAGACAAGGTTGGGAAGCCCAAACAGTGGAAGACTCCACCGTTCTCGGCGCTGTCGAAGAGGATCCGGAGGTTAGCACCCGCAGCCTTGTGACAAGACTCGGGTGCACCCATCCCACAGTCCTCGGTCCCCTCCACGCCCTCGCCACAGGAAAGTGCTGACTCGATGGATCCCTCATGTCTTGACCGATAGCACGCGGTTCAATCGGGTACCCATTTCTCAGTTTCTCCTATGTGCCGCACGAATAGGCGTTGAAAGGCATGATTACGGAGGTGAGAGTTGGGTCCTCTACGATTCTAACAAGCACAGTGCCGTGTGGCTCCCTCGAGGAGAAGACCCGCCGACACAAGCAAAATCGGACCTTCACCCCAAAAGCTGTCTTCTTTGCTGCCTCTGGGATTCGCGAGGAATGTTGTATTATGAGCTGCTCCCGTAAAGGCATACCGCTACCGGCAGCATTTACGCCAGTCAGCTCTAGAAACTAGCGGACGCTGTTCAAGAAAAACGACCGAGACGAACTTCTGTCCACCTACTCCACGATGACGCCAGGCCCCACATAGCTAAAGAGACCCGTGCAAAATTGGAAGAGCTGGTCTGGGACGCGGTTCCCCACCATCCTATTCCCCTGACATTGCCTCTCTGATTATCACTTATTTCATCCCCTCAAGGGCATTCCTAGCGAAGAAAAATTCACCAAAGTTGAAGACGTTGAAAGAGCGGTCAGCGATTTCTTTGACTCTCAGTCTGCTCAGTTCTGGGAGAAGGGGGTCGCTGACCTGCCCATTAGGTGGGACTCTGTAGTGAGTAACAATGGTGATTATATTGTTTAGTAGATTCCATTGTACGCGGAATAAAAAAAGCAAAGAACAAAAAAGTGTCAAACGGCTCAGGACTTTTTTACCACCCTAATACAAAAACTTGCGTTATATGTTCTCCTAAAACTTCTTAGTTGTGAGTATCGCTCTCAATATACTTTCGCGTCAGCTCTCGAAGCATTTTTCATAATTCTGGTTATAGACCGGCAAGCAGAGGATGCTAAACACTGTATAGCATTATTATTATTATTATTATTATTATTATTATTATTATTATTATTATTATTATTATTATTATTATTATTATTATTATTATTATTATTATTATTATTATTATTATTATTATTATTATTATTATTATTATTATTATTATTCACGTGACAATGGTTTCTGCACCAGATGAAGCAGAACAAAAGATCTCGGTTGTGTGCGCAAACACCGTGCAATCCATCGGTGGCCTAAAATAGGATGGCCTGAAGATCACTGAATATCCCATTTGCTTCGAACAGAGGCCTGAGTAAGAAGAGTGTTCCCATTTCCTCGCGAAGAAAATCGACAATGTTCGGTCTAAGTATTGAAAATTCGGTTTTTGAACTATGATCGGAGCTCGTGCCTATTCACAGAGCAGGGGGGGGCAAAAGGTTTTTTTTTTCTGGATGCTTATGAGGCAATATCGTGAGTTCTTCTGCCCTGTTTCTAAATAAATTGGGTCTATTCCGGCATCATGATGCAGTTTTCCAAAAGCTAGGGTAACTCCGAGCCAGGGGGAGTGTAGCCAGTCCTAGGGGGTGGTGGGGCAGTCACTTGACATGCGTGAAAAGCTGGAATGTTCGAGTTCACACTAGTTCGCCGAGAAACTGCATCATGATGCCCCCCCTAACTGGAATAGACCCAAATAATCTCCAATCTTGCTAGCTGGAGCAAGTGTTTCGCACCAAGGCACATTCACCATTAGGGCGAGTGAAATGGAGACAGACCCATAAGCTGGAGGCAGAGAAAGAGCTGGGGTGGTAGACGACGCGACACGAGGCGTCTTCGTAGCGGTATTTGCTTCAAAAGAGCGTTAGTAGGCGCCGAACGTAGGTCGATCCCTTCCCCCCCCCTTCCCCGTTGTGGTGATACCCATCTGTCGTAAAACTACACCTTATGATAATCTTCCAGTAACTTATTTAGGACTATGCCGCATTCGTCAAGAAGGTTTTGGACAAGAAGGATGAATTCCAGCCTATGTCTGAAGAAATGTACAAGTATGTTATTCTCCACAGCACAAGTACTCTTCAAAAAGACGAGTCCTAAATAGAACTTTTCACTGAAATACTCCATTTTAGAGCGATTAAAACATTATGGAACGATAAAGGGGTAGAAGCCGCCTATGAACGGAGGGACGAATTCTATCTACACGACTCGGCAAAATAGTGAGTAGTGTCTACAATAATCCTATAGATAGCCATTCCCTACTAATCGCCATCAGAGTTTTCATGTCCTTATATTTTGATCATTGCCACTGATATGTCCATTGTTATCATTTACTATTATCACACAAAATTTTCTCGCGAATCCTATTGAGAAAATACTTCGGGGAATCCTTCAAGAATTCAGACAAATTCCGTAGATTTCACAGTGTACACCTTGCCATAACCGCTACTAGCGACGAAGTCCACTGCTCAGCGAATTTTTTGAAAAGGTGGAAATGCTTCAATAGACCCACACTATCCTGAGACTACCGTAAGAGAGGCGTCTCAGCTTTTCGGTAGCGGACCGGTATCCAATCTCTGTGTATCTGAAAGGCAGAAGATATGTATTCTGACCCTGCTAGCGATAGGCCGGTACTCTAGCCTGAACTCCGTGAATATTGGCTAAATATGCTGACCATTATACCGTAGGCATGCCAAGCAATCCTCCCTTATGTCCAAATAATGTATTAACCCAAGCGTCCACTCTCATAACGTGATGGGCCGGTCAGCCAATACCTAGAGGTGATGGGAAGAAAGTCTAGGCATTCGTCCCTATACCAGG